AATCGATTAACACCCTAATATTTTCTAAATCATCAGGTAGCTCCTGATGACTTTTCCTATCAATAGACCACCTATTCAAGAAAACAAATTATTATACGTTGTATCAAATGATTAATATACGAAATCAGTTTTACAATTACCTCAATAGTAGTGGAAATACGAATGAGTTCTTGACAACGGGACATAAAAAGGGTAATTGATACCATGCCCAAGACTGCAGCAGCAAGAGACATCCGCCGATAGCATTTCTCCTGTAGTCAATGGCTTGACATATATCCCTATACAAGAAAGCCAAAACTGCCGAGCCCCAACTGAGTGATCCTACCAGATAAAAGTCGCTAAGATATCGCAACCACATGCAGTGAACTTGGTTGCACGATTTGTCCGACATCAGCAACCCTCCTATCAGCTGCAGTATGCATGCCCGTGCATACATTTTAACTTCATCATCAGAGGCATCCTCGCTCAACTCCCGAAAATTGGCATCTAACCAATTTAACGGTATCCGACCACCGTTAAAATTTTTCGGGACACGTCCTAGATTTTCCTGACACAAAGTAATCCATGAACCCTACGCGATCCCTGATATCACATCTCTATCCACCAGAAGCCCCAAGTGCAAAGCAACATCCTCAAGTGTAATCATGCACTCTCCGCACAGAAGATGGAATGTGTAGGTCTCCGGCCTCCACCGCTCTACTAAGATAGAAATAAGGTATGGTTCTATCTTACAGTAACCCTAATATCTACCTATGTAACCGAATCCAGTGTCTACTAAATATGGCAAGATACAGCTAGGTATCACTAACTTAAGGTTCCTAATAAAATGGTCTAATACACGGTCCTTCTCCTAAAATTAAATAATTACAAAAATTAATTCTTAATCTAATAATCATGCATTAAATAAATTAACAAATTATTACTAATAATTTAAATTAAATTAAAACATTAAAATGTTACTGTATCAGCAAAGTGTCGAGATATATGATTTTCATCCAAGTGAAGTAGACTGCCTTCCATTAAATATCTGCAAAAAAAATTATATAAGTAAAATATGAAATAAATTAAATACTTAAATAAATTAAATACAAAATATGAAAAATATAATAAAATATACCTTAAACAGAGAATATAAGAGTATTTGAGAGAAGTTGAGAGAAATTGAGAGAATTTGGTGTGATGAAAGTGATTGAGAATTGGGTATTTATAGGGAGGGATTGGGGTATGAAGCGTCGGGGTAGGTGGGTAATTAAACCTAAGGTGCGCCACAGGGGGCGCGCCTTACTGACACGTAGCAGATTCACAGGTAAAGCGCGGCCCCTGCCTCGCGCTATGCCCTACGTGGCCTAAGGCGCGCCCCAGGGGCTGTGATATACACATGTGTATCTCATGTCAGCATAAGGCGCATCTTACCCCACGTGGCGCCAAATCAGTGTTAAGCGTGCTGCAGGGGGCGCCTTTCTGCAAAGGGTGTTAGATCAGGAAATATAGTCTGAATGGTGCCTGATTGGGAATATTATATGGAAAAGGTGATTTTTTGAGATAAACGCCGTTTAAATTTTATTTTTTTAATAATCATATTTAATGTTTAATTTATATTTTATTTTAGTATTATGTCATTAAAAATTTAATGGAGATATTGACATATCACAATAAGGTAATGTCACATTATCAATGAAATTTCCATGCCAATAATTGTGTTACTTTTTTAACAATGGGTACTAAATTGAAACATAAAATAAATGTTAAGTATGATTTTGAAGAAAAAGTTTAGTACCAAATTGGAACAAAAGTAATAATTTAGATACTAAACATGTAGTTTACCCTTATATTCATTAACAATAACGAAATAAAAAATTACAGTTTTTTTAATATTAAAGAATTACATAATTTCCAATTATTTGTAAAATTTTAAAAATTTTAATATCTCAATCTTATTATTAAAATAAAATTTATTGATTTAATAATTCTTATTTTATATATAAATCAGAAATTCTGAAAACAATATAAAATAAAAATACTGAGATTATGAAATTTTTTATTTTATAATAATAATTTAATTATTATAAAATATTAAAAAGTGAAATATATTTTTTAATATTGAAAATTAACTAAAAGAATAAAATTAAAATGACAAAAGATATCGACATTTAGTCTTATCTTTATGTTTGTTTCTCCTTTCTTTTGGGTCTCAATTGGACCCACTGAAAACACAAAATAAAGCTATTAAACTTTTGTGTTCCTAGAGAGGGCCATACATATGAGTGAATATGGATATTCCTTTTTTATTTTACATGCTTTTCTTTGCTTTTTAGACCTATCTTTGCAAATCAAAGAGAGTGAAAACAGAAAATAGAACATCAAAGAAAAAGAGAATATGTAAATACATATTATAATTTTAAAAACAGTTCAATCAGCTGGGACAGACGTGTGATTTTATGTTAAGAAAATGAACGTAATTTGAAATTTTAGGGGAGCAAAAATAAATTATCAATAAAAAATACATAAAAAAATCTAAAATATACGGTAATTTGAAATTTTAGGGGCATGTGGAGCCATCCTTGCTCCAATGCAGAGTTGGAGTTGGTGGGTTTAGTTAGCTTTTGAAAATTTTATATCAGAAGTATATATAATTGGTATTAAAAAATTAGGCAAAAGGGTCACTTTTACCCATGTAGTAGACTTAATTTATCATTTTTGCTTTTATTGTATTTTAATATCAATTTAACCCTCGAAGTTGCTCAATTACATAAATGTTTAAAATATTTACTATTGTTTATTAAATTAGGTTTTATGGTTTAAAGGTTATGGGGTTATGATTTGGGGTTTAAAGTTAGGATTATGGTATAATATGATGCAATTAAACAACTATTAGTGCTAAATTAATGCGAAAATATGATATGAGCAAAAATGATAAATTGAGTTTACTACATGAGCAACTTTGACCTTTTACCCAAAAAAAATATTTTGTACAATGATCACAGTTTAGGGTATGGGAAGGGTTTCCTGAGGTTAAGATTTCAAATCCAAATATACTAATAAATCTTATAGTTTAATAAATATATATTATTAAATGTAAAATTGAAAAGATAATATAATTTTGAAATAACTACAATACAAAAATTATTAAATGCATTCAAGATTTCATAGAAAAATTATGGCTTTTGTTTTGGTTTATCAAACATATTTAAATAAATAGAATACATTCTAGCTTTTACTTTGGTTTATCAAACGTATTTAGAAATTAAATCATTGAAAACATAATTTTTATTGATTGATTTCTTTTAACGTGTTATCAAATAGACCTAAGTTCTGTAATTTTTAATTGTCTTGTACATAATTTTATGGGATTAAATATAGTTAAAAGACGCACGAATTAAGTGACCTCTGTAGTAAATGAATTGTTGTTATTTTTTGAGGATCCGGGTTCAAGTATCATAGATGCTAAGGGTGTGAGTATTCGATGTTGAAAGGTTGAAAATTATAGTTGAACAAATTTTGTCTTGTACTTACCTCATATTAATAATAATAAAAATGTCTAAGAGACAAGAGAGAAAGATAAATAGAACTAAAAGAACTGTGCCTTTTTCCATAACTAGAAAATTATTCACAGATTGAGCAAACTCTTTGCCTCGCCATTTTCCTACTAGAATCCCAAATACTTAGAAAAAATATCTTGATTAAGAACCTTCAAGTTTGATAAATAACATTAGCATCAAATCTATGTGTTTTTTTTATTAGCATGGGATGATTACAAGATCGTATATGTTCAACAAAAATTCATTAGTCAATTGACAATAGATACACATACACCTTGTAGACGTAGCTATTCAAACTCGAGACTTCTAAACAATGGCGGAACACAATGGTGGCTAGTGGGGACCATTACCTTCCAAAATTTGAAAAGTTATATTTTAGGCCTTTAAATTTTTTAAAATATATTGAATTTGACTCCCACAAAATTTTTAAAAATTCATATTAATTTTTACTTTATTTGAAAATTCTTAATTAAACCCCTCCCATAATTTTTAAAAGTTCTCATTAAGCTTCTCAAAATTTCAAAACTTTAGTTATACCACAATTTTTTGAAAAAATATAAAATGAACCCTTCAAAATTTTCAAAATTTTTATTTTAAACCTCTAAAATTTTTAAAATTTTACGTTACCCCCAAAATTCTATCACCAAGTTCCGCCACTACTTCTAAAAAGAACAGCGCTCTCTTTTACGTCGCTCAATGCATTAATTCAAAGATTCTGCTAAAGCTCTAATTACTCATTCAACTAGTCATAAATGTAAAGATTTGAAGTACTTTGATACAAGCAAATTGATATGGGAAAACGAAAGGTTCATGTATGGGACGGTGTACATGCAAATGGAAATATATAAGTATTTTCCGTACAAATTTGGCGAGGCTTACAATTATATCAGAATCGTTGAGACAATTGTTGTTGGCATCGAATCAAAGCACTGAGACACTGCCTTTTAACATCAGTTTAGGGGCCACACAGTGCATATTAGGCTTGAATATCTATAATTATAAAAGCTAACGATTAGCTGTTTCATTCCATTTTAACCCAATCACTGTTCTGAATTAAAGAAAAGGTTTTATTATCATTTTAGGGTTTGCCAAATTAGCTTAGTGGTAATTGTTTTTATTATATAATAATCAACTATAATGAGTTGTTAAGGAAGTTGGACAATCATTTCACAACGACTATTCTAGGGTTTGCTAGTGTGAAAAAGAACAAAACCCAAAAAAGCAATATAATAATTATGATAAATTCTTTCAATAATGTTAATAAATGGTATTTTTAGATCCTCATTAATAGAATATTTTGTTTTAAGTGATAATAATAATGACGCGAAACACAAACCAAATATAATAATAGAGTAGAATGAACTAATAAGCTAAGTTTATGAGTGATAATATTAAATATAATTAAGTCGAATAAGGAAGGTTTTCATGATATAAATATATACTCTAGGGTTAGGGTTTCGCCAAGACATTATCATACTGAAAAGCTCTGCCTATTTTTCTTAATGTTAGTACTCGTAATTGTATCTGTATATTTTTAGTTTTATGCCAGCTTCTGCCTCTTAGTAATTGAACTAATTTGATCATTGTGGTTCAGTTCTTCTTAGAGGCTATACCGAAGGGGATAGATGAAGCGAGTAGTACTGAGAAGTGTGGAGCCACCAAGGCCGGTTACGACTGTGCGATATGTGGAGTGCCAAAAGAACTATGCGGCGGCGGCTGGATGCTACGTCTTCGATGGGTGCAGGGAGTTCATGCCCAGTGGAGCAGACGGAAATGCCGCCTTGACTTGTGCTGCTTGTGGCTGCCATAGGAATTTCCATAGAAAGGTTGAAAGCTAAGGTACTTAGCGACTGTTCTTTGTCTCCATATTCCATGGAGAACAATAATAATAACTTGTTTCGGGTTCTACACGAAGCCTTTTTCCTTTTGGTACACTATAATTTGATGAGAAAATGTTTGAAATTCAAATTTGAGACTTGCAGATGGAGGAATAAACCAATTATGTTGAACCCTAGTTTTTTTTTTTATTAATCTAGAGTAAGTATAAGGTAATATTTATTCAAAGATAACTCTCAATCATTTGACATTAAACGCTTACACCCCCATAACATTCATGATGTTCAAACCTAAAACCTTAAAGAAATAACAACAATAAGCTAAAATTAACTAGGTAGAGATAAAGTTGATGATTTTGGCTAATTAGATTAGGAGGCTATATGTTTATCAATTAACTTTACAAACATTTTTTGCAGAACGAATCTGCTTATGAAGTTTGCTAATTTCAAGATTAAAACAATTGTGTATTGATGCATTGTGTAATGAGATGCTTGATTAAATTTGTTATTGTTTTCCAATTGGTATATGGTAACACTAAAGCACTTATGTTCATTGTGTTTGAACATGAGATCTCAAAGAATAACAACAATTCCTTTACCACCAATGTCAATTGGTTCATGCTAAAGTTAAATTAATTTTCAACTTTTTTTTTATTCTTTTGTGGATCATATAGATGATATTTATTGATGCTCAAGGGAAGTAAGTTATGTTTTAAACGAAACAATTAGCAAACATTATCTTGAGATGGTGAAGGCAAAAATCCATGGAATATTTTCTAAATGTGGAAGTCTAATCTGTATGGTAATTAAGAAGCCTTTGTAATTAAGTTAAAGGCCCACGTATCTAAACACTATTGAAATATTTCTTAATATGGTCTAATCTGCTGGTTGTTATGATGGGAAACTTTCTTAGTGATGTACTTAAAAAGGCAATTATGAAAAAGCTTAAACCACTAATATGGGTTTGAATCACGAGCTGACCTTTGAGTAAAAAACATAAATTTGAAACGTAATATTTATTGTATATTTTCTATTGATAATCTATTTTCTTATTTGAATATTTTATAAATTCGTTCTCTTTTACAATTTTATAAGTTCGTCTTCTTAATATAAAATCTTGCGTCTCTCCCTAAAGACAGCTCCTCAACTACTGACATCTGTTTGCAGCAAGGGTAACATTGTGAGCATTCGATCGATTTGAGTAAAAAAATTGAGTTATTCGAGTTGACAAGTCATATTTTGTAACTCGAACTTAATTTGAAAATTTTCAAGTTGAGTCGAGTTTAAGAAATTTGAGTCGGCTTATTCGAGTTTTTATAAAAAATTTATTATAATTATTTATAGTATTATGGTAAGGATTGGTTTCAATTTTCTCTAACCATATAAGATATATATATATATATATATATATATATATATATATATATATATATATATATATATTTATTCATATTCATTTCATATTATAATGTTATTTAATATATCAAATACAATCTAAAATTATAAAATATATTTACAATACTATATTTTAAAGAAGATATTTTGAGGGTAAAATATTGATGAGAGTATAAAAGGGTCAAGAAATTGATGGGAAGAAAAAATTTACAAATAATTGCAATCAAAAGACCAAATTGAGTAGAATGCAAAGTTAATGGACTAAATAAAAAGAAAGTTAATTTTAGTAAAAAAAATATGAATTGGAGTTACATAGGTATTATATAGTGGTATTGGAACATGTGGTTTAAAATTTGGTAAAAATGAACTTAAAATGAAGGAATAAGGTAATTATGAAAAGTTGAGAGACTAAATTGAAAATTTTAAAATATTGTTATCAAAAATAGGAATTGAAAGCACATAGGTATTCTACTATGGTTTAGGAGCATATGATTCAAATTTGGTAAAAAATATACTTAAAATGAATGAGTAATTGAAAGAATAAGGAAATCATAGACTAAATCGCAAAACTGTCAAAATAGTCAGTCAAATTTTTGATTTTTCGAGTAACTCAAAATTTCCAAATTTTAACTTGACTCAAACTCGAAAATCAAATCGATAATTCAAGTTATCTTGAATAACTCGAAACTGAAAAAAATAATTTTTCGAGTCGAGTGGAATTTTAAATAACAAGTCATCTTTCTCCTCTAAATGTGTAACTCCAGTCGATCCCGATTGTGTCATATTTGTCAAATGGTCTGCACGCCGATTTCCTTTATGAGTAACATGACGAACCATGGTAACTTGACCATTGTGGATCATTTTCAGACAATCTTCAAGTGCCCAATGGGAGGTCATCCTCAAACGGTCGACGCAGTAGCTGCACTAGTAGCAGTGCATCAACGTCCAAGATTATGGGTCGTATACCCACCACTTCGACAATTCGCTATTCAAAGGTGGAAGAGAAATATTAAATTTGTGGAGGAAGAAACACTCTTGTGAAGGAAATATAAAATTGAAATGGTAACAATAACTATGGTCTAGATGGATGAGGTATTAGTTCTTTTAAATAAGGTTAGGGTTCGAATTTTGATATTTGTGAATGGAGTGAATTGGGTTGGTAGGGTTGCCTTGATCTCTACAGTATCCAAATTGAATTAATTGATTAATAAATTGGATACCGGTGGTTATACTAAAAAAATAAAATAAAATCGAAATGGGAACTCAAGCTTAACCGTGTCGTGGATGAATCATTGTCTTAGAAACAAAATCATCCTGATTGGTATAATTCTCAAAATGGACGGTACCCTCATGAGATTAACACAATCCTTCAGAATTTATACATGAAAAAAATAAAGCGGAAACTAGTGGCATTATTCTTCTCATAAATTTGAAAAGATAATTATTGTGGAGAGAAAATGTTTTGGGATGCAGTGAAATGAGAAAAAATGCTCTCTATTTATGAGTTGGGAGAGGGGCCTAAAAATTACCAGAAAACAACCCATTAATTACGATTAATGAGTTATCTCCAATCAACTCTCAATCAACTAATTAATGGCTAATCAATCATTGCAATTAGTCCAACCAACGACTAAAAATCAGCAGTCAACACGCTTCCATAATTTTAGTAACGGATACTGAAATGTTTACATGCACAAAGGAAACATATAAATATTAGACAAGGTTTCTCATTCAAGTTTAAACCTTTTAGAAAATTATCTGAATTTTCTCCAGAAAGATACGTCATGCAAGATACGTGTCGATGACACTTAATTACCACAAACCATGAACATGAAAAAAACCACACACATATATTAGACTGGTCGACCGGTAGCGACGATGACGCATGCATGTGAGGGACATGTCTACCAATGCTTAACAAAGAAGGGACAATGGAATGATATTTAAACTATCATCACTTCCTTTTCTTAGCTCATGTGAGATTAAACTTTGTAAATTAATTGGCATTTCTAACAATCCTCTATAAATGCACAAGAATTCTTTAAAAATAATTTTTAAGAAGAATTTTAGAATGAAAGTGAGAAAAGCAATAACGAAATCAGTCGCTTAAGTATTAATTAACATATTTGGAACTAATACATAGTGAAATGAGGGATTTTGTTATCTTAAACAAGTGAATGAATCTATAACTTATTAAGATATGAGTAAACTTATAAAACACGAATAATTCCATCCACCCACCGATATATGTGATGAAGCAACAAAATAGCTTGTACTCCATAGGATGCTGGTAAGTTATCTAGATGAACAACCCACATTTCTAAAAGAAAGTGTCTAATTCTTCATACCTGCTTAGGTGATTTCATCAAGCCTATCTCAATATAAATCACCCAAATTAGTGTTATGAAATTATTAAGTTCTTTTATAAGCTTATCATCTTAACTAAATAAGATGAATTCATCAAGTTCTTTTACTAAGAACCACTGGAACTTTGATATATGAATTCATTAAGAATATAAACTTAACCTTTAAGTTCATCAAGTCATGTAGCACCCTTATCCGGTCTGACCCAAGGATCGAAGGTCTGGAACATTACACAAGACCACCAAAGTGACTAATCCAAACATTTTCTTTTAAAACAATACCCAACATGATTAAATCCAAAATCCATAAGATAAATACAATTTTAAACATTTGAATACGATGTTTACAAAATAGGAGCTTCATTAATAAAATTCAAAATACATAAGTTTGATAAACAGAGTTTACCACTCAATTACAAATAAGGTTTCTGTGAAGTACATGCTAACAATATGTATCCAAAATGTACTCTAATCAAAATATCCAAGCTGGAATTCTTGAACTGGTTATGGCTCCTCGACCTGTCCTCCTAAGAACTTGCGGAAGAAAACACATTCCAAATGTTGAGCTCACAAGCTCATTGCCACACAAATAACATTGTTATAATACATGTATTCATTACATGGGTATGCAAACAAGTGTAAGTATGAACATGCAAGTACATCAACAAATAAACAAAGGTAGGTATCATGGTGTAATCAGAGGGTCACTTAGCATCTCAGGACTCAACCTCTCTATCCTACCTAAGGTACCCTAGATAAGACTCGAGTTACTTAGCATCAAAATCTTCATCTAGAAAGGCCCTCATTGCCCAGTACCCAAGATGCCTCCAGGGTCACTTAAAATTGGAGCCTACGTCCCACTAGTATACTCCTTGAAGTACTTGGAATGCCTTCAGGGTCATTTAGCATCAAAGTCTACGTCCTTCTAGTCTACTCTTCGAAGTACTTGGAACATTTCCAGGGTCACTTAGCATCGGAGCCTACGTCCAACTAGCGTTTTAAGTGCATAAGAACCAACTTAACATATTTGGATATCTAAACACACAAGACTATCATCATATTGCTAAAGTAACTCGGGTGTTCTAGCCGTTTTTCAAGCTTTACACAAGGGCTAGTGTTATGATACTTGTCTCATATGGTTTATGAGTCATTACGACATTTATTGACGTTCTCACTTATCATCTTATTAGAGAGATGTTAATGACTTTCGACCCCCTTCTAGAACACTCTTTCCAATAAGGCTTTTTGCCTAATACTGCTTAGTAGCACCGATACTCCTCTTCAAAGTATCAATATTGATGTTTTAGTACCAT